AACGGCGCTTATTTACAACAATGTCATCTCAAGGCACCCAACAAAGGGTCCCACTGATGGTCATTGTTATACTAAAAAACCACAAGGATTGGGATACCTCTCTCTGTCAGAGTGGTCACAACCATCGGAAAAGAGAAGGGGTCACAAAAGTAGCAGAAATGGAGGGTGTGTTTGCACCTCAACCATAACTGAGCCGGTTTAGGCTAAACCTGACTCCCCCTTACTCCATCCAACAGGGAGGGAGGAAGGCTCCCTCCCTGCACACGCTCTCATCCAGAAGTGCATTGGCACTAAGATCCTGGAAGGAAGTTTCTGCAGCAGCTAGGAGAGAAGCTTCGAGTGCAATGGGTTTGCACATGGGTGTGATTGTCAAGCTTAAATTGTTCTGATGACTAAATGTCACAATGGACTACTTATAATAAAATTCAGAAAATTTCGTATTTCATTACATTTGAAACATTTTTTAAGTTGTTCTTTAGGAAATATTGTGTTAATGTTTTATTTTGTGTTTGGCAGCTCACTAATCTCCACAGTCATGTTAGTGCTATATTACTCTATCTCTATATGTGGGTCATGCAGAGAGTCTTTAAAGGGGCAGGTGGTCATAGTTCAAAAGTGGGTCATAGAATAAAAAATTAAAAGGCAATGTACCATCATAATTTACACCATGACCTATTAAATGAACCCACCTTAAAACACAATCTGAATACATTCAAACTGCATCAAACCACTTACTTTTACCCAATGAAAAGAAAAAGGGGGTAAGATTATGTGTCATAGCTCTATGCTCTGTCCATTGTTCTCACAAATAAGTTGCTTTACATTTTTTCCTTGGGTTCTTTCTCAGTTCTTTACTTAATCACTGCAACATTTGACACTTATTTGTACTGATTTTCTCTGCACACTCAGCATTTTACCATTTTTTTTTTCTCTGGTTTTGCTTGTTTTATCTACATCTCCACCTGTGAAGAAGGCACTCCCTTTACTAAAATATCACTGCACTTAAATACTGTGCAAATCTATGAAAACTATCATTTTTCATTACTTGACAATTCTGTATTAATTTGTGTTGGTCTATCACATGAAATCAAAATACAATGTGAAAAAGCTGAAAGGACATGCATACTTTTACAAGGTATGGTGTTACTTTATCAGAACCAGAATTTAATTAAACTTTTTGTACTTTCCCAGTTTATTAAACTTTTGTTTAAATTTGCTTTGCTCTTTAAGTTAGTGGATAAGTGAAAATCTAAAAGACCCTGCTTTTCATATATATGCTGTTAAGGTTTTTAACCTCCAAGGCCAATTAAAATACAGGTGTTTAACTTGGAAGTTAAATATAGGTAATCCCAAAATTTCATTCTTTCCAACCTGTTTGAGAAGGTTCACATCTTGGGTCTTGTTCTATTTAAGCAGAACACTCACCCTTTAAAGTCATCCTCCTTGGCCTTGAGTAACCTGGCATACACTCCACAGAGAAACAAAATAGGCTCTCGATTTTGGAGTCAGATGTGCTGGGGCTATTTTATATGACCTGGCCTTGTAGAGTTGGCTGATTGTTCCAGCAGCTTTAAGTCAGCATGGCAGTATCCCTGGGGAGGTGACACACACATTCTTCCTCAAAGGCCACAAACAGGTGAAGAGACTTTATTTGGCTCTGACCAGAGGGTGTCTGCCTTCTAAACCAAAGTAACCAAGTGACATCCCAATGTGCTTTTTCTGTATTTGCATGCACATGCACATATCATTGTCTCTGTCTATGTTTACTGCATTTTCTTGCAAACACACACACACCTGGCATGACTCAGCTTTAATATTAACAAGAGGAAGCTGGGGAAGGACAGACATTCCCTCAGGTGCCTTTCACAGCAGCATTTGTGCAGCTCGAAAGAATATACTTCTACTTCTTACATGGATACTTCCATCATCTATACCCACTTATCCTTTCAGGGTCGCGGGGGAGGCTGGTGCGTATCTCCAGCAGTCATTGGGCGAGAGGCAGGGTACACCCTGGACTGGTCGCCAGTGCATCACACGGCAACACAGAGAAACACAGGATAAACAACCATGCACGCAAATACTCCTACCTAAGAGAAAATTTTAGAGACCAGTTAACTGTCATGTTTTTGGACAGAGTGAGGAAGCCATAGTGCCCGGAGTGAACTCATGCTTGCACAGGGAGAACAGGAGAACATGCAAACTCCATGCAGAATGACCCCAGGCTGGGATTCAAACCCAGGACGTCTTAGCTGCAAGACAACAGTGCAACCAACTGCACCACCCCCAGATGTTACACTTCATCTCATATTGCAAATTGTTGCTCAAACAAAACAATGCTGTTGTCTTCTTTGAACAGCAATTTGCATAAATGGGTGCGACCTGCATATCTGGAAAAAATAAATCCTGCTTTTCCCTCCACATTATGAAACATGCTCATCTCATTCTCAGTTCTTTGGTCCACAAGCTGGATAAGGACCCATCTGACTTCTACTTGACAGATGGCATCCTTGATTTTGCCTCAGTTGTGATTACTTTTTCATTTAGATTACATCTGTCTGCTTCTCTTTTAGCTTCATTTTTCTAAAGCAAATAAGTAAAAAAAAAAAAAAAAAAAAAATGCCTCTCAAAGGCTTTTATACGACATGAAAGCTTTACATGTTTTGTGTTAGAACAAGTATTTGATTTCATAGATAAACACAGTGTCACATTACTGTAAATTGGAAGCAAAATAATATATAGTATTGTATTTTTTGTACAGAAAAATCTGACAAGTAGAGGTTACATTTATCTGTATTTCCACTGACTTTGATAGGTCTAAATAAAATCTACTGCAATCAATTGCCTTCATTAGTCATTTAGTAAGAAAAATACAGTCGTCCTGTGAGTGATTTAATTTCACATATTTTTTGTAAAGACCTGAAAGTTTCTTTAGAGAACATTGGAGAAAAAAATAATCATGTATACAAACAAAAAACCCTTACATGCCAAGGTTAAAACTCTGGTAAAGTTAAAAGATGGATTAGATTAAATAACTTATATCCCAAAGTTTCATCTCAGCACTGCTCAATCTATCATTTGAAAATAGCATGTCACAACGGCAAACCAACAAAGACATGTCCATCCACCTAAACTGACAGATCTGCACTCTTAAAATGTGGCTTTTAAGGAAGAATGGGAAGAAAGCCATTGTTAATAGAAAGCAATAAAAAGTCCTCATGTCGATTTTCCACGTCATTTAAGAGACACAACAAATGTGGAAGAAAGTGCTCTCGTCATATGATCAAACGTTTTGTATGCCAACAAATACTATTGATTACATAGTTTTTCGGCCAGAAAAAAAAAAAACTATTTGTGATGGCATAAAACTTACACTACCCGTCACCTTGAACATGCCATCCACAGTGAAACAGAAACAAAATGAAACATAGTGTTAGAGGCATCGTGCTGTGCTGTGGGGTTGCTCTTCTTTTGCATTAGCCAGACATTGGGTCAAGCTTGATGGCATGATGAATTAGGCTAAAAGCAGGATAATTTTAATTACATTTCTCAATGTTTTACTGTTTTTTTGTTTTGTTTTTTTTTTTTCAGATTACATCATAAGACAAGATGAAATACAGTGCAACAATACAACCAACCAATACAACCATAAATTGGTTTAAATTCATAAATGAGGATTTTTGGTGAAGACACAATATTCATTTAACAATCAATAAAACAGATTCTACTCACATTGACCTTTGCAGTATTTACAATTATTCTGGTATTTTTACAGTACTTTTCCACACCAAAATGCTGTCCTCACATTTTTACAACACAAGTGTTGGATCACTTGTTTGCTGAATATTGGACCATTTGCACGTTGCTGGATGCCACTATGCCTTTCCAATGTCATCGGCCATTTTGTACCGCAGGATAGTCTGTCCTACAAAACCCAGCGGCCACTGCGGCTGATATGACGGGGCTGTCCCAGGTCTGACGTCACAGGAGGCAATATAGGAAGGCGAACGTTTGAAAGAAGCGCCTTTCACACTGGATACCGGACCAACATCTGAAGCATCCCTCTCTGGAGAAGAAGAGGTCCCACGTGGATTCTTCATTTATTCTCCGTCATTGGCCAACGAAAAATTCATGAAAGAGGTTTCTGGAATAAGAAGGCCAGAAATTTCACTTTGCAGATCGAAGACGTGAGTTGAACACGTGACCAAAAAACCACAGAGTTTCAAGGAGACGCAACTTTCCCTCCTTGTTTTGTACCAGTCAACTAGTGACGGTCCATCATAATTTTTCTACCTTTCTGCCATGGAGGCCACCAAGGAAGAAAACGGACTGCTTCGCTGAGCATCTGCGGACGCGTGGAACTCTTCACGCCCAAACCCTCCTTCTGTTCAGAGGAGACAACAACAAGTAAAATGCACCTTTTATTTTTATTTCTTTATTAGGAATAGCTTGGGCAGGATAGAGGAGGTTTTAGTGTGATGTAGAATCGCCACTTAGAGTCTAATGTGTTCTGAATTGTATGTGCATGCCATTGTCTTTTGAAACGTGATTACTGTTGTTTTCTGAGGGGGCCGCCGAGTCTCGCAAGATTGTGCTTTTACTGTGCGAACACCTGGTGCGCCGTGAAACTGGACCGCTATAATAACCTTATGGTGAAAATCAACCATTTTCTTTATCTTCAACTTTACTGCTTACTGGCTTGCCGCCAAAAGTTTTATTATCTTTTGTCCTCGGGGTTTACAACCTTACTGGAGGGAAGGTTTATGACTGCCTGTATCTCACTGAGCTACACTTTCTGGCGGGCTGCGCTCCCAAATCTTCGTTCAACACCATGTTCCCTTGTCATATTATCATTTTGGCCATAACTGCTGGTTGATTCCATACACACCCACTGCTGTTTCGTTTATTTTGTTTAGTTAGATATTTTACCCTTTTGTGTAGAACTTTGCATGTTTGAGTAGGTGAAGATTATCGGATCGAAGAGTTGATTGTATCAGGCTGATTGGGTTAATACATTTTCACGTAGATAAAGAGAAGGCGTTTTGTGTTTATTTTGTGCAAGAATGATTTGTCAGTCAAAATAAGGTTAAAAGTTCTCCATGTTTTGGCAGAAACGGTTGATTAAACAGTGACATCACTGGTAATAGTTATCAATTATTACTGAGGCATTGAGCCACAATTACAACACCAGAAGACATCTCTGGTTTCAATTCATAAATGAGGATTTTTGGTTAAGAAATTAATTTTCTCAAATTATGATTTTTAATTATAATTATTGATAAATATTAATTAATCAAGAATCATAATCCTAACACAAGTATTTTAAATATAATATTTTACTACAGAAAAAACACTTTTAATCACTGCTCTTTTTGGTACGTACCTTATATTTTTTAAAAGCAAGATGTTCCTTGCCTCTTTGACAGAATTAACTTCGTTCCTCCCCAAGTTTCCCTTTAAAAGGCCAAAGGCTATTTTTCCATACATTAAATGACAGTATAATACAAATCATTTAACCAGGGTAACAATAAAGACCACATACTTTGGACATAGGCACATCTCCAAAACAAGTGCCTAACAGTTTTGTCATCTCCTCAATGTGCTTTGGGCTATTGAGGGCATCCTGTGAAATTATTTTTTTTTTTTAGACAAGGAGACAAGGAGTAAACATTCAAGCACTATTTGCCATGTCAGGTCTCAATTTACATTAAACAGGTATTCAGTAGTTGCATTACTTTATTAGATGGGTCTTGAGACAGGATTCCTTTTGGTGTCTTCGAGTAAAGGGAAGCAATGGGAGGAAAACCTCACCACATCAGAGCTCCAAAAAAACTTCTTAATTTAAAAAACCTTAAAGACTTTTTAAACAAAACACTGTATTTAGTTTATTGTATTTTTTTTTATCATGTTTTTATTGTTTTATTGTGTAGCATTTTGAAATCTTTTTAAAATGAAAATAGCTTTATATATAAAAAATATTTTTAGTTTTAATTTTTATATGTGAAAATATGAAATGTAACGAAAGCAGAGCTGCAGTCATCATCACAGAGCCACATCAGCTGTCAACCAAAATACGCAGCAACGTCCCACGTCATGACCAACCTGCGCCAGGTTCCTAGTAAAATAAAACAGAACAAGAAAATAATTTTCTTGTATAGATTGCCTCAATTGCCTTTACAGAATGTAGAATCAGAATCATCTTTATTGCCAAGTTTGTATAGACAAACAGGGAATGATAATGGAAAGTATGTCATGGAAAAGATAATGCAGCTACAACAAAGACTGAAATGGCTTATAACTGGGTGAGGCCAATAGAAGGTGCTCTCTGAGGGATTTCTATGAAGTTTGCCAAAGTTATTTTTTTCACATGGAGGGGAGCACAATGTGAAGCAACACTCTAAAAGTGAGTTGCACAAGAAAGGCAAAGCTGAAAAAGCTGCCTGCCGATGGACTCCTTTTTACTCAAACTCAGAGATGACTGCCAGAGAGACATGGTAGCAGCAGCTGAGATTGCAAGTGTTAAACTTTAAATGCTTGTGATTTTTATTTATTTTTTTTTCAAACTTGTGCTAATTCACTGTTTTGCACCAACAGCCAAAACAGAGATTGATGAATGTAATGTGAGATCTTTGTTAAATTAAAATGTATCACATCATAATGTGTCCCACAATGTCCCTCATAAGCATCCTTGTTGTCCTGCATTTGGTTTTTTAATATCTGGTCAAACTAATGGACCCTTTTCATTGACGTCACTGAAGTCCCCACCTCACTTCCGGTCTGCCATCTTGGGTGGCTCCATGCCATTTCACAGCTCTTCACAACGTTGCGACATTGCATACTTTTTCACCCATGGATAGGTATCTAGAGTCGTTACAGCCTCCTGATAAGGCCATTTTCCTCAAGAAAATTGCGGTCATAAACAAGGTGGATCCATATGTACTGCCTGTTGGTTTCTTTAACAGAAATACAGATGCTTGGCCGCACATATCACACAATGAAGGAAGGGTAAAATATGTGACCGTCCGTTAGGGCTTGTTCTATGTTTCTTTGTTTATGTTTATTATTGAGGAAATATTGCTTAAAATAATGCTTGCATTTAATATATATATTGTTCATTTAATCGTGTAAAACACATTTCAAATATAACTGCTCTGTTTGAACTACGGTGAAAAAACGTCCCTAATGTCCGATTTCAGTCCCTGTTTTAGATTAGCTGTCCTCGGGTTAAGCTGTCTCCAGAAAAGTCCCTGATTTTATCATTTTATGCATGAGAAAAATGTTTGCATGTGTGG